TAATTGGTATTGTTACAACGCCATACTCCTGTGTGAAGGAGGCCTAAAGTCCAAACAGATTCAGTTTGCTTACGTTCCCATGTATTTATATTGTTCCAAGGAGGAAAATTCATTAAAATATTTCCATTCAGTTCATATTAGTTCACATCTACTTCTTAAAAAGTGACTTTGGTTTGCTGAAAATCATCAAGGAACAAAAGTTCAATATATCGAACTGATTCATAACTGTAATGCGGTTTCACTGAACAGAAAACTTAAACTAAATAATTTATTGTGTTTATGAACACAAAAACAAACATTAGAAATTAAAACAACAAAGCAGATAATGAATTTACTCTATCCTTTTTGCTTTACATTTTTTGTACAAAACAGTTTGTTTGGTTGTGCAAAAAAATTCCTAAACTGCTTTGTTGTCTGATTTACTTTGTATTTTGTTCCAAATCTTTCCTTAGATCGACACATAAAATGGTTGAATGCAGAAAAAGCTTATGGTTAAAAACACCCAATACACAATCTTTCCTTGCCACACCAATATAAAGCTGCTTCAAGGATGTGACTTTCTAAGTGCAGAATTATTGGTGTGTTCTCATGTTAATCTTACTGCTGTCTCATAAATCATGACAGGAACACGGTGGAATTAAAAGACTCTTTGGGGACTCGTGTTTACGGCCTGAATAACACCTGGCGACATTACAAGCTGGTAAATAATTCAGAATACATTAATAAACACTGACCACATTCATGTGAAATAACTCATTTTCCACTGCAGCAACAGAAGAGACTCAGAACGCTGTTAAAATGAAACTACTTTATTTGTCTAGTTCAAGTATGACAAGTGACTAATTTCTGGTGATGTTGATTTAATATTAATCCAGAAAAATACATTAATAAGCGGGCAGCAACATGGAACATAGTAATAAAGTGATTAAGTTGAATAGGAAGCAGGTATTCGTTGTTGAAACGTTTCAAATTAGTTATTAATCAGTTTTGGGCTGATGACAGAGGGGAAGTACAGAGTGTTAGTCGCTTTCAGAGACATGAATTTGGTTCCTTGGAGAAAGTTATCCAGGTGTAAATATGATGAGCCGAGCTGTGGAGAATGACTGAGGACATAAATAGAGACGCTGCTGTGGGCTCTGTTGGGATGGGTAACGCAAACACCCATTAGAACAGCGGTGCCCAAGTCCAGTCTTCAAGAGCTACCATCCTGTAACTTTT